CCATCTGGGCCTGGGCTTTTTTTTTTTTTTTTGGTTGGGAGACTTTTGATGACTGCTTCTATTTCATTAAGGGTTGTAGATGTGTTTAGATTGTTTATCTGTTCTTGATTTAGTTTTGGCAAGTGATATCTATCAAGGAAGGTGTCCATTTCCTTTACATTTTCTAATTTTGTGGAGTACAGATTTTCAAATTATGCCCTGATGATTCTCTGGATTTCCTCAGTGTCCATTGTTATGTCCCCTTCTCATTTCTGATTTTTTAATTACCATGTTCTTTCTCTGTCTTTTGATTAGTTTGGGCAGAGGTTTGTCTATTTTGTTGATTTTCTCAAAGAACCAACTCTTTGTTTCATTAATTCTTCACACTGTTTTCCTGGTTTCTACTTGATTGATTCCAGCCCTCAATTTGATTATTTCCTGGCATCTGTTCCTCCTGGGTTGGTTTGCTTCTTTTTTATAGAGCATTCAGCTGTGCTATTAATTCTCTAGTGTGACTGTTTTCCAGTTTCTTCATGTGGGTACTTAGTGCTATGAACTTTCCTCTCAGCATTGCTTTAAGAGTGTCCCATAAGTGGTGTCTTCATTCTTTTTGAATTCCAGTAAGTCTTAAATTTCTTTTTTTATGTCTTCCTTTATCCATGGATGGTGCAATTGTGCATTGTACAATTTCCATGAGTTTGTAGGATTTCTACGATTTGTGTTATTGTTGAATTCTAATTTTAATGCATGGTGGTCTGATAAGATACATGGGGTTATTTAAAATATTTTTGTATCTCTGGTAGTTTGCTATGTTTCCTATTATGTTGTCAATTTTGTGAATGTTCCAGGTCACACCGAGAAGAAGGTATATCCCTTTGTGTTTGGGTGGAATGTTCTATAGATGTCTGTTAAACCCAGTTGGGTCATAAGATCTTCTATTAGTTCTTTTGTTTCTTTGTTAAATTTCTGTCTGGAGGTCCTGTCTAGCAGTGAGAGCAGAGTGTTGAATTTTCCTACTACTAGTGTGTGAGATTTTATGTGTGATTTGAGCTTTAGAAATGTTTCTTTCATGAATGTGAGTGCCTTTGTATTTGGGAAATAGATGTTCAAAATTGAGACTTCATCTTGATGGACTTTTCCTTTGATGAATATGAAATGTCCTTCTTCATCTCTTTTGATTGATTTTAATTAGAAGTCTAATTTGTTAGATATTAGAGTTGCTGCACCCACTTGTTTCTTTGATCTGTTTGATTGGAATATCTATTCCCAACCCTTTACTCTGAAGTAATATCTGTCTTTGATGTTGAGATTTGTTTCTTGTATGCAGCAGAAGGATGGGTTCTGCCTTCATATCCATTCTGCTAGTCTGTGTTTTTATAGGCAAATTGAGACCATTGACATTGAGGGATATTAATGACCATTGATTGATGATTCTTGTTTGTGCTTGATTTATTGGTTTTGGAGTTATTGTTTGTAGGGTCTCCTTCCTTTTTCTTTTGGTGTTTAGTATAGTGGGATTATCTATTGTCTGAGTCTTTTTGAGTGTAGTTTTCTTTCTTCGGTCTAGGTTTTCCATCCAGCACTTTCTGTAGAGCTGGATTCATTGATACACATTGTGTAAGCTGGCTTTGTTATGGAATATTTTGTTTTCTCCATCTATGGTAAATGAAAGCTTTGCTGAATATAGTAGTCTGGGCTGGCATTCTTGTTCCCTTAGCATTTGGAGTACATCTATCCAGGATCTTCTGGCTTTCATAGTTTCCATTGAGAAGTCAGGTGTAATTCAGATAGGTCTGCCTTTATATGTTACTTGGCCTTTTTTCTTTAGCTGCTCTCAATATTTTCTCTCAATTCTGTAGGTTTGATGTTTTGATTATTATATGGCGAGGTGACTTCTTTTTCTGGTCCAGCCTATTTAGTGTTCTATAAGAGTCTTGTATTTTCATAGGCTTATCCTTCTTTAGGTTAGGGAACTTTTCTTCCATGATATTGTTGAATATGTTTTCTGTACCTTTGAGCTGTATTTCTTCTCCTTCTTCTTTACCTATTATTCCTACGTTTGGCTTCTTCATGGTGTCCCATATTTCCTGGATATTTTGTGTTGAGGATTTGTTGGTTTTGAGATTTCTTTAGCTGATGACTGAATATCCTCTAATGAGTCTTCAACACCTGAGTTTCTCTCTTCTATCTCTTGTATTCTATTGGTGATACATGCATCTGTAGTTCCTGGTCATTTACCCAGCTTTTCTATTTCCAGCATCCTCTCCTTCTGAGGTTTCTTTATTGTTTCTATTTAACCTTTCAGTCCTTCAACTGTTTGAGTTGTTTCCTTCATTTGTTTGTTGTTTTTTCTTGGTACTCTTTAGATTCTTTGAGAGATTTGTTTGTTTCTTGAATTTTTTGGTTCTCCTTTTCCCCCATTTAATGTAGTTTTGTTTGTTTTTTCTTCTATTTCTTTATGGGATTTTCTCGTTTCCTCTTTGAGGGTCCCTATCATCTTCATAAATTAATTTTTAAGGTCTGTTTCTTCTGCTTCATCTATGTAGTACTTTTCAGATCTTGCTGGCATTGGGTCTCTAGATTCTGGTGGACTCATGTTGGTCTTTCTATTGCTGAGTGAGCTCTTATTCTGTGTTCTTCACATCTTTCCTTCCAGTGGGTGCAGTTGGGGTATTTCTGTCTCCACTGGTCTCCTTCTTTCCTGAAACTGAAGCTGAAGCTGAAGCTGCACCTGGGGACGCAGGGGGCTGCGGTCTGGAAGGACTGATGCCTTTCCTGAAGCTGGGGATTCAGAAGCTTGGTGTGTGGAAGGACAAATGCCTTTCCTGTGTGGGCGGGTCCTCTGGATGCCAGGAGCAGCCCCAGGAAGATTCAGGGGATGGGTGATGGATGGGGGATGGGTAGTGGCCCCAGGGAGACCAAGCTCACCTGAAGCTGGGGATGCAGGAGGTTGGGGTCTGGAAGGACTGATGCCTTTCCTGTGTGGGTGGTTCCTCTGGATGCCAGTAGCAGGAGCATCAGAAGATTCCAGGTATAAAATCTTAAATTATTTCTGATAATCATATTCAATTCCCCTCTGCCACCAAATAACCCACCGTAATAAGAGACAATGTGTCGGTTGAGAAGGTTCCCAATATCACTGCCAGGGACATGACAGAGAGTAACTTCCCCAGTCAATGTATAACAAGCTGTCATGTGCTCTCCATCTTTGCTAAACATTTTACTTTGCTTTATGACTACTGCAGTGCGTTCAGATTTTGCTCTCATGACATTGACTGCTGCTCATTCAGATTGGACACTAGGAGACTGGGGTCCTACAAATCCAAAGGATCCTGCCATATGTCATGTGCTTCTCAAAGTGTGTAAGGAGAGAGCATTGGGACTAAAGTTATTTTTTAAAAAACATTGTTATATTATGCATAACATAAAAAGCCATATAGTACATCGTTATTTATCAAGGTTTCACATGGTGTCCTGATGCATTATATTCTGTGGGCTGTTATGAAAGATGGACTATAAAGCTGCTGGCTGAAAACAGTACTGATTGATTTGCTTCCAGCTTTGAAATAATAGAGTCTGAAGTTGATGGCCATGAGTTCATTTCTTTGGACACCACTGTAGATGGAGGCTCTGAGAATGTTAGTCTTACATTCACGCTAACATGAGACAGTACCCGGCTGAACTCAGCATTTCTGTTCTATCACATAGAATCATTTATTTTTTAATGAGAGTGTGTGGCTCTGCAATATCCATGATAAGAAACAATAGAAAAGGAAGACTTTAATAAACTCAGATATCACATTAACATATTCTTCTTTGGTAAAATAGCAACATGGTATTTAGAATGTGGGAGTCTACTAGTGCATTCAAATACATGCAAGAGTGACAGCCATGAAGAAAATCTGCCTGGTCAAGGACCCAAATTCCTGCATGCAGCTTCTCTCAGGAAGGCCTGTGCAGATTCTCTGAGTCTGTGTTAGAAGATGAAGTTGGAAGAGAGTTCTGTCAGTGGCAGTGGACCAGAGACAAATATCAGGGTGGTTCCTGATTATGTGGGAGTTTATTACTACATTCAGTGTATTGGAAATCTTCACAGATTGACTGCCATTTACAAAACCTGCCCTGATTAAGGTGTTCAGAGTCCATACATGCTGCATCTTTCAGGGAGGCCTCTTAGGTGAACATTCTCTGATTCTGTGTGAGAGGATGAGTTTGAAGATTTCCAAGCAGCCAGTCATAACTGAGGGCTATTTATCACTTGTATCAACATGCACTTAAGGTCAGATGACAAAGACACTTTCCACCAAACATGATGGCACATGAGAGTTTAATCCCCAGATCTCAAATAAAAATGAGACATACAAGTTCAAGTTTCCTCTGGCCTCCAAGAATATGACACATCACATGTGCACATGCATATACATGCATGCAGGCTATTATCTAGAGTATAATTAAAGTTAAAAGAACATATGGAAAGGAAAAGAAAATCAGAAGAAATGGGCAATAGTATAAGTAAAAAGAACTCCCGCATCTAGAAAGCAGGAAGCACTCTTTCCTAGAGCTTCATAACAAAAATACACTTTACCATTATCATCACTTCAGACCACAGAGACTTATGTTGGACACCAGAAGTCCAGAATTGTAAAAAGAGAAATTCCTCATTTTCAAACAATAGAGTTTGTGGTAATGTGTTACAGAATGAATAGAAGGATAATATTGAGTTCTCCTTTGCACTTTTGTATAAATGATTTTCTTTATTTCTTTTTTTCTTTTTTTGGTTTTTCGAGACATGGTTTCCCTGTGGCTTTGGAGGCTGTCCTGGAACTCACTCGGTAGACCAGGCTGATCTCGAACTCACAGTGATCCACTTGCCTCTGCCTCCCGAGTGCTGGGATTAAAGGCATGTGCCACCAACGCTCAGCTTAAATGATTTTCTTACCAAAAGATATAACAGACATTAAACCATCATTTTGCTGGGCTCCACAAACATTTTCATGAGTATTTTGTGAGTGTTTGGGGTCTCAGGCAGGAGGAGGAAGTGCGTAGGTCCAGGCCTGTGTGTGGTACAAGCAGCTGGTGAGACTCTGAGAGGAGGTTTTTGTTGGAGGCTGAAGCACTGTGGGAGGATTAACATAAAACTGCATACAGTAATAATCCCCCATGTCTTCAGCCTGGACACTGCTGATGGTGAGAGTGAAATCTGTCCCAGATCCACTGCCTATGAAGCGATCAGGGACCCCAGTGTGTCGAGTAGATGCATAGTAGATCAGGAGTTTAGGAGGCTGTCCTGGTTTCTGCTGGTACCAGGCCAAGAGGTTATAGCTACTAAATGAAAGACTCTCACTGGACTTGCAACTGATGGTGACCTTGTCTCCTGCTGACATAGCCAAAGAGGTTGGAGACTGGGTCATCCTGACATCTGCACAGGCACCTGCAGTCAGGAACAGCAATGATCATGTTTAACAAAAAACTCAAAAAATTTAATTTAGATGAATTTTGTCATTTAATGTCCTTGTAATGCCATATTGTCACAGTATTATTGCATAAAAATATTACACTCTAACACAAATTATGTATTTCTTTGATACAAAGTAGTGACTGAAAATATCTTAATAATTTGAAATTTCTCACCAGATACCCAGAGCATCAAGAACATGAGAACCTTGGTCTGTGACACCATCTTGCTCCCCCTGCCTGTCTGCTTTGTTCTCACTATCAAGGCCTGGTTTATAAACTCCAAGAAGCTGGGCTGAGTTGGAGGTGCCAATGCAAATCAGTCAGCAAACACAAATGCCTGGGCAGTTGTGTGAGAGTGACTGGTGTCAATTAACAGGCAAATACAGCATCACAAACTGTAACTGTTATCAGTGAAAGATACTGGCTTACTAGGTTCTCTAATACAAGCTATTTCTCTAATGCAAGACAATTTAAATCAGGTGATATTTCAGAAATATAAGAGAGCTATCTCAGATTGAAATTCCTGGGGAAATGAAATTTTGCAGCCTCAAATTAGGTAATGTATAGTAAGAAAACATGCATTAAAGCAAAGAAAAGTGGAAGGAAGAAAAGAGGAAATCCAAAAATAATGAGAGAATTGATGCTAATTTTTTCAATATCTCCAATCTCCAAAGTGACTCTTATACTAAGGATGATGAATAGTGTCTCAGACATTTAGAATCCAGTTTCTGGACCAAACATGGAGCAGAGTGGAAACAAGAAACCATATTCACTCTGTAGAAATCCTGGGAACATTTAAAACTGATATCAGAGGAACTTTAATCTTGATGCAGAGGTAAACCCAACAGACACTAACACACATCCTCTCTACAATTTCAGGAATTGGAAAGAAGGCTCTAAATGGGAGAATGAAAGAAACATGGTTTCATAAAGAAATCATGAATGTAGACCAACACTGTCAAAAGTGTTTAATCCAGAAATTCATATTTTACAATAATCTAGAATTTAGCCTTATTGCAACTGTGTTACGATGGTCTTGCTGTCATAGTAAACAGAAAAGGACCTTCCCAGAAAGGGGCACATTCATTCTAATCCAAGTAACACTTTTACAGAGACCAATGAACCTCAAAATCAGATTATTGCCATCCAAAGGGGCAAAAATGATTGAGTATGAATGAAAATCAATATCAATAACAGAAGTCACAGAAACTGCTGATCTCCTGGTTAGTGGCCTCTGAATGTATATATAAAAAGTAAATTATAAACTCGGTATTATTTATAAAGAGTAAGAAAGAGAAAAACAAAGGAATAAATAAAATGCCTTGGCAAAGAGTCAACATTCACACCTCTAATAACAGAACTAGGGAGACAGAAGCAGGAACATCATGAGTTAGAGCTAGCATGGGATACATAGCAAGTTCTGGGCCAGTCTAATCTGACCCTGGAGACTATCTCTCAATAATGTTCATCACTAATTAACTGGTTACATAGGAACTCATGGCATTTGATAACTGAAGTTATTTATTTTCAACAAGTTAGCATTAAGCCAAGAATATTACTGAAAATTAAATATGTACTTAAGCAATATGCACTTTCCTCTTACTTTTCAACAAATGTGTATTTTATTCATCTATTTTCAGCTATAAAATGTTAATTTATTTATGATAAACATACCTCTCCTCTGTCAACTGCTAACACAGAAAGAGAGAATGTGTAGGTTGAAAAAGTGCCAATCTCACTGTCAAGGTCATGATAGTTGTGTAACTGCCCCAGTCAGTGTATAACAAGCTGTCGTGTGCTCTTCATTTTGCTAAACATTTTAGTTTGCTTTATGACAGCTACAATGAGTCCAGATTTTACCCTCATGACATTGACTGCTGTTCATTCAGATTGTACACATAAAGACTGGTGTCTTCAGAAAAAAACAGAAAAAAAAAGACTGGTGTCTTACAAATCTAAAAGCTCCTACCATTAATCATGTGAGTCTCACAGTGTGTAAGGAGGGAGGGAGCATTGGTACTAAAATTATTTTTTAAAAATCTGTGTAATATTATGTATAATATAAAAATCCATACTTGGTTACTTATCAAGCTTCCATAGTGTGTCCTGATGCATTAGATTCTGTGGTGTATGATTAAAGATGGACTACAAAACAGTTGGCTGAAAACAATACTGATTGAGTTGCTCCCATTTTTGGAATTAGGGTGTCTGAAGTTGATGGCCATGAGCTCCTATGATATAGTGATATAGCACCCTCTTCTATGGACACGAATGTAGATGGAGGCCCTGGGGATATTAGTCTTAGATTCATACTAACATGAAACTTTACACAACTAAACTCAGCGTTTCTCTTTCATCACATAGAATTATTTATTTTTGGTGACAGTCTGTGATTACCCAATATCCATGACATGAAACAGTAGACAAAGAAGACTTTCATGAACTCAGATAACACATTAGCATATTATTATTTGTTAAAAGAGCAACATGATAACTTATGATGTGGGAGATTATTACTGCATTCATTAAACATACAAGAGTGACAGCCATAAAGAAAATCTGTCCTGCTCAAGGAGCACAAAGTCATGCATGCAGCTTCTCTGGAGGACTTGTAAGCTTCTCTGAGTCAGTGTGAGAGGATGAGGTTGGAGAAGCAGCCTGTCATAGCTGAGAGCTCTTTGCCATCCATTCCAAAATGCACTTAAAATAAATCTGTAAGTGACTCATCAGCTTCAACAGCCATAGATGGCATACTAGTAGAGAAATAGAGATGATGAGAGCATGGGAATCCTTTTTTTAAATTTTGTTTATGGGTTTAAGGGTTGGATGAATATCTGTTCAGGAAACATGCCTGGTGAATATATAAGATAGAATAGTGAGTCAGCTTCCTTGGAACTATATTTAGGGATCATTGTAAGCCACCATATGGGTACAGGGAACTGAAAATAGATTCTTTGGAAGAATATCCATTGAGTTCTCTTAAACAATGAGACATCTCCGCAGTCCCACACATGCCTTCTGAGTAAATAGACATGATGGAAAATGAGAAAATCCCTGAAAAATCAAGACCTGTGCACTGATGAAGGCTATGTCTCAGGAAATGTTGGGCAGTAGAATGAGGAGGATGTTTAAATGGCTTCTAAAGGCTCCTTATGCCTTGGAAAGACTTGTTCTTTCAACCTGAGATGCAAAGCAAATTGTTTACACATGAAAATATCTTAATTTGAAACCAGGAGTTTGCAGTTCATTTTGCTCTTCTCTTCTTATTTCAGGGACCAGGGGATTACCTTGATGATGCAAAATCAAGTTTTTCTCTCCATCATGACTGGAGATCCTAACTATTTCTGGAAGAACCACATCAATAAAGATGTAACTCCAGGCTCCAGGGATGTGTCCTGGTCTCTCTTGCTGTTACAGAAAACCTACAAAGCAAGTTGAGGAATCTTTGTCCCTCACTTGGGAGCATACATTACTTGGAAAGACAGTTCTAGAATACAACTGCTCTAATGTGAAAGACAATGTGAAAGGAGCTTGAAGCAGATGCTCACATCACAACCACAAATAAGATGCAGAGTGAAGGATGCTGGAGCTCGCTCCCTTTTTCCATTTTGTGCAGGCAAAGAAACACATGCAGGGTCATAGTTATGCCCACAGTTGGAAGGGTTTTCCTTCATCAATTCTCGTAATGAAGATAATTAATCACAGACATTCTCAGAGGTTAATCTTAACCTAGATAATATTACAAGTATGTATACGTTAACATGAACCTTAGCAATTCTTCTACCTCAATCATTTACCATTTCCTTGTGTTTACTTCTAGTTGCAACTTTCTATACATTTGTTTAGGCTCATTTCCTTTTTAGTAATGTTCCTGAACAAATGAAATGTAGAGGCCAACACACATTCTCACTCAATCCAACAGAGTATAGATGACTTTCCAGAAAAGGATTTTCCCCAAAGTATATACCTCACCTTGGTTTGAGCAAAATGGCTACTCCAGTCACAAAAACACAAAGCAGGTTGGGAAAGTTACAATGAATATTAGATGAAGGTCTTCAAGAGTCACGTAACTCACACACGGAAGTTGCATTCAGTGTGTCTGGCGGGAGGAATGCTATGAGAATTTGAGTTTCCTCAGCCTCTTGGCAACAGCCACATTCCCCAAGCTAATCCACACAACATGTCCCAGGAACACACTTAGATGTATGCTAGTGTCTGAACTTGTCTTCAGTTCTGGATTTCTCCACACCTAACCTCCAGCAATCATCAGAACACTACAGAGTGTTCTCTTTCCCCTGCTTCCCAAGGAGATATGTTTGTTATCTTGTGATTCTCTGTAACAACTGTGTCTGTAATCTTTGAGATTGGATTTTGATCTGTGACCTCCTTCCTCCTGTGGGTCTAAACAGAACTGATGCATTTACAGTTTGTTCACTCTCTTCATTTTTGTTAACATGGAGTGTCTTCTTCTAGGTCCTTCATATGCAGAACTAGAAGTGTTAAGGCTCTGTTCCACTAATTTAATCAATGAACATATTACCTCATTGATTTCTCAAACCAGAAATGAAGTATGTGGCTGTGTGTTCTGTAGGTGTGTTTATGAGTTTTGTGTGAGCATATTTTTTCCCATGGCTGCTAGTCACTCAGAGTGAGAATGGTCCACAGTGTTTGATTTTCATGAGGCATTGAGCCTATTGAAACACACTTTCGTTTTCTCTGGATTGCAAGTTTTAATTTTAACCTCCATGATAACTTTGAGCTTATGTTTTTCTTTTAATATGAATATAATTCTATCCTCTTTGTTACACACAGAACATATGAGGGGACCACTTCGTATAAAACTAAATACATGATATCTAATGGAATAGCATACTATTATGTAAAACTAACCTTGATTTGGTTCTTGAATTGATCCTGTGTTTCTTCCTATAATGAATGATGTTTTCATGGATATATTTGTCTAGGGATGTCTTCTATAAAAATAACCCAAGCTGTTCAATAAGACAGTCTACCCAATTCTTTCTTGATTTAGTTAGTTCTTCTATAGAATGCTTTTGATCTAAAATTGTTATTCTAGATGGGCTGATGCTTAAACCTTAAATGAAAAATATTTTGTCCTTCTCAGTAGCTGCTGCAAAATTAAAGGAATTATTAAGATGCTCCAAAGACAATAACAGACTCTGAGTTGCCTTTAATACAGAGTTTCACAACAAGAAGTTGTTCTCACTACTCATTTCAATATTATTGTCTTTACTCTGGGTTTTTGACAAGTGACATCATTTCTGGCAACCAATCCAGCTAGTGATTTACTGAACAAAATT